AACAGATACGGCACCGGCGAGCGCCAGGCCGGGTGTGCCGCGGGTGAAATAGCTTCCCCCGTCGCCAATGGAGCGGATGACTCCTTCAATACGAAGCCAGGCCTCATTCCTTTTCTCAATTCTCGTCGGCGAGTGCAGAGAGAAAGAGGAAGCCAACATTAATACAATAGAGTTGGAAGTTATGTTGGGTGGCTGCGTATTTATAAGAAGGTGGATTTCATGTGAGGAGGAACCTAAAAGCTGGTTATACAAGCTAATGGTCTACTGTGACTGTCTTTTTCTCTACTTTCTATTTTTGCTTTTTCTCGATTTTAGGCTTTAGAGAAGGTAAGCTCTCATAAAGCAAAGAATTATTGCATGCAGGCATCGCATGCAGAGATATATGCGGTGTCCGATTCTGAGTGTAGATCACGGTGATCTACAGTGAAGATGTATTTCAGTTTTTTTTAAAATTTTTTAAAGTAGGACCCACCGAAATATATCCTGACCGTAAATCACCGTGATCTATTGTTACAGGGGCGAAGTACTGGTTTTAATTTGAAAGATATGAATGGGAGACTTGGAAAAGTTGCAGAATTTGTATTTTTATTGGACTGGTAGCATTAAATTTCTGGTTGCTTGCTGCATAACAATATTTAGCCTAATTATTGAAAGCTGACGTGAGCTTGTGGTTTTAGGGAACGAACGTGGCATGCATCTAGACGATAAGCATTTAATGTCAGGCATTGGTAGGAAATTGTATGGTGATGTAAAACTGTGATTTTTATCTTATTTTTTTTTTTCTATTTTTTTGCTAAATGACGCGCGTGATGGTTTTACAAAGGTACGAATAGATTGTCCAATAGATGTTCTGTTGCGGCTATAATAGTTAATGTATATGGGGTCATTGACATACATACCATATAACTTGCTCATGCTTGCCTTAATGCAGTTGATCATCTACTCAGCTCTCTCTGCCCACTGTTGTCTCTCCTTCCATGCATTCTATTCCTTGTGTAATTCAATAAATAAATTTGTGTAATTCAGAAATATAACTTTTTATGCATTAGATAAAGCGACATGTATGTAAAAATTGAAATTTAGATGTTAGATATGAAAATGGATAGGAATTGAGTGAATTGTGAGCAACCCTTTTATATTTATCTTAAAATTGCAAATATCAATTTCAAAAAGTGTTCTTCTGTGGAGTTATTGTGTGTAGAATTAAAGAGTGTTTATTTGTTACTCGTAGCCTCGTAGGCTGATTAATTGAATGAGCAAAGGGAGATGGAGGGCCGATAAAGAAAGTGATGTGCGAGGATGAAATCATAATCATTCTCATCTTTAAATCTCTGTATTTTAAAACATAAAAGTAATACTGAACATTTACATAATTAGGGGTGTCAAAGAGCCGACACGCAAACTCCATTTGATTCTAACTCAAAAAATTTAGATTCGAGTTTATTTGAATAATTTTTTGATTGGATCCGGCTTAAAAATCTTAACTCATTTAATATTTTAGGTTGATTTCGGGTTATCCCACAAACCAGAAAATGACATGATAATATTAAATTGACTCAAAAACGACTCGTCAACTAGAAATTTATTCTAGGTTGACTTGAAATTGACCAAAATTTGGCATGATTTTGGCATGAATACTTAATATTTTCTTGTTAAATGAGTTATACGTGTCGGGTTTTATTTGGCAGGTTAAAGGTGGGTCTTGTTTGGGTTAGACCATTTGACCCTTTTAATATTGAAGTTGGGTTCAGGCCAAGTACTTTTTGGTTCGGGTCAGACCCAAAGCCGACTTGTAAACTCGATTTGACACTCCTACACATAATGACCATGCAATTCGTTCATATTTACATGCACAACAGCAAAATAATAAAATTTTAAAAATAAATAAAAAAAATATCGTCACCATCTTTCTAAAAGTAAAATACACATTTTCATAGACATATTTATGTGATAGTGAAACTCAAAATGCTGAAAACAGTGTTTTCACACCGCATCTGTCCAGGTGTGGTGGCAGCTTTCTGACAGTGATATGACTTTTCCAAAAAAATAAAAATTTGTAATAACTACCGCACCTAGTTTATTAGCAGATTATTTTTAATTAGCTTATCAGTAGATTATTCAATAAGCTGCAGCTGCCCCAAACAGACTCTTATTTTAAGTTAGATTTTTTTTTTCTTAAATTTTAATATGAAAAATTATGTTTTTTTGGGAAAAAGAAAATCTAATAATATCATCACACGTTATTATGAAAAATCACATTCAATATCTAATGCCACAAAACACATCATCAATCTCGTTCCTCAGTATAAAAATCACATTAAGAAAAAATAGTATGGCCCTTAATGCTGGGAAACGACCAAGTTCAGACATGATCGTGACTCTCGCCACCAGCCAAAACATTCCCAGCTTCGTCGGGCTTCACCATCTCCTCGCAGCAGTCACCGCCGCCCTTCTCCACCTTCGCGGCGCTTCTTCTCCACCGCCGCCAGTCAAAAACGACGCCCGGCTGCGAATCGGCTGAGCCAGAAATATTTTCCTCTCATCTCCCGCCATGACGACGACGAACCGTTCTTCCATAGCCGTCCCCTGCTTCCCCTGCGTTACACCCACATCCCTCCCGCCGTCACCGGAATCAGCCGTGTCGCTCATATGTTCGGCGCTGTCGACGTAACCTGAAAGCTTCCAATAAGAGCAGACAAGAACAAGAAGGGCGAAGGTAATGAGGCCCAGCATGGCCGCAATTCCGCCAAACAGATACGGCACCGGCGAGCGCCAGGCCGGGTGTGCCGCGGGTGAAATAGCTTCCCCCGTCGCCAATGGAGCGGATGACTCCTTCAATACGAAGCCAGGCCTCATTCCTTTTCTCAATTCTCGTCGGCGAGTGCAGAGAGAAAGAGGAAGCCAACATTAATACAATAGAGTTGGAAGTTATGTTGGGTGGCTGCGTATTTATAAGAAGGTGGATTTCATGTGAGGAGGAACCTAAAAGCTGGTTATACAAGCTAATGGTCTACTGTGACTGTCTTTTTCTCTCCTTTCTATTTTTGCTTTTTCTCGATTTTAGGCTTTAGAGAAGATAAGCTCTTATAAAGCAAAGAATTATTGCATGCAGGCACCGCATGCAGAGATAGATGCGGTGTCCGATTCTGAGTGTAGATCACGGTGATCTACAGTGAAGATGTATTTCAGTTTTTTTTAAAATTTTTTAAAGTAGGACCCACCGAAATATATCCTGACCGTAAATCACCGTGATCTATTGTTACAGGGGCGAAGTACTGGTTTTAATTTGAAAGATATGAATGGGAGACTTGGAAAAGTTGCAGAATTTGTATTTTTATTGGACTGGTAGCATTAAATTTCTGGTTGCTTGCTGCATAACAATATTTAGCCTAATTATTGAAAGCTGACGTGAGCTTGTGGTTTTAGGGAACGAACGTGGCATGCATCTAGACGATAAGCATTTAATGTCAGGCATTGGTAGGAAATTGTATGGTGATGTAAAACTGTGATTTTTATCTTATTTTTTTTTTTCTATTTTTTTGCTAAATGACGCGCGTGATGGTTTTACAAAGGTACGAATAGATTGTCCAATAGATGTTCTGTTGCGGCTATAATAGTTAATGTATATGGGGTCATTGACATACATACCATATAACTTGCTCATGCTTGCCTTAATGCAGTTGATCATCTACTCAGCTCTCTCTGCCCACTGTTGTCTCTCCTTCCATGCATTCTATTCCTTGTGTAATTCAATAAATAAATTTGTGTAATTCAGAAATATAACTTTTTATGCATTAGATAAAGCGACATGTATGTAAAAATTGAAATTTAGATGTTAGATATGAAAATGGATAGGAATTGAGTGAATTGTGAGCAACCCTTTTATATTTATCTTAAAATTGCAAATATCAATTTCAAAAAGTGTTCTTCTGTGGAGTTATTGTGTGTAGAATTAAAGAGTGTTTATTTGTTACTCGTAGCCTCGTAGGCTGATTAATTGAATGAGCAAAGGGAGATGCAGGGCCGATAAAGAAAGTGATGTGCGAGGATGAAATCATAATCATTCTCATCTTTAAATCTCTGTATTTTAAAACATAAAAGTAATACTGAACATTTACATAATTAGGGGTGTCTCCATTTGAGTCTAACTCAAAAAAATTTAGATCTGAGTTTATTTGAATAATTTTTTGATTGGATCCGGTTTAAAAATCTTAACCCATTTAATATTTTAGGTTGATTTCGGGTTATCCCACAAACCAGAAAATGACATGATAATATTAAATTGACTCAAAAACGACTCGTCAACTAGAAATTTATTCTAGGTTGACTTGAAATTGACCAAAATTTGGCATGATTTTGGCATGAATACTTAATATTTTCTTGTTAAATGAGTTATACGTGTCGGGTTTTATTTGGAAGGTTAAAGGTGGGTCTTGTTTGGGTTAGACCATTTGACCCTTTTAATATTGAAGTTGGGTTCAGGCCAAGTACTTTTTGGTTCGGGTCAGACCCAAAGCCGACTTGTAAACTCGATTTGACACTCCTACACATAATGACCATGCAATTCGTTCATATTTACATGCACATCATTCAAATCTTAACATTAGATAAAAAAAAATATCGTCACCATCTTTCTAAAAGTAAAATACACATTTTCATAGACATATTTATGTGATAGTGGAACCAAAAGTAGGGCTGTCAAAACGGCTTGTTGTTCGCAAACAGCTCGTGTTCGGCTCGTTGAGAAGTTTGTGTTCGGCTCGTT